GGAGAGACTAGTTTCTTCGGAGTTATTTAAGGTTTTAGTAGAGAATTTAGACATTATTATTTTTTGGTGTTTTTTGCCTTTTTCTAACTCGCTATCTTTTTCTTTTTGCAATTCGCTTAATTTATTTTGAAAATCATTGGCTTCACTTCGTAATTCCTGCCGTTTCTTCTCACTTTCTTCCAACTGTTTTTTAATTACAAGCAATTTTGCTTCTAAATCAGCTTTTCCTTCTTCCAACTGTTTTTTTCATTGTTCGTCACTAACTTGGGTCAATTTTTCTACCAATTTTTGAATTGTTTCTACTAATTTTTCTTTTTCGCTTTGAAAATGAATTATTTCCTCATCTAATTTTCTTATTTGTTCTTGTTTGCTGACTCATCGAACCTCAGTTTGACTTAGATTTCTTCCAACTTCTCCCACTTGTTTTTCCAAAGACTGAATTCGAGTTTTTAACTCTGTTATTTCTTCGTCTTGATTTTCTTTTTCATTTAAACTATACTGATTTTCTGCTGGAATTTCTACAAATGTTTTTTTGATATTTTCAACCTCTTTCCTCTTTATTCTAATAGTTCCGCCATCAACCGAATTAATGTCAAGTATCAGCAAACCTCCTCCAATCGGAACTTCACAGGTTTCTCGCTTATTACCCGTGGCAGAAACTCCATATTCAATTGTTCCTCCTTTGGTTAAGTTCAATTTAGCATGATAATGATAAGAAGAATTATTGCTATGTCCGCCATTGGCTAAACAACCAAAACAAAGTCGTTGTAAGTCTTCATGCTTACTACCTGGCAAGCCAGATTTTAATTGTTGGTATAGTTCATCATCCAATGAGCCGATGTAGGAAACAACATTGTATTCAAGCTTTGAGCCATCAAACTTAGCTAGTTCCTCGGCCTGATTGCCTGAACAGTCCAGATTTCTCAACTGCGGACAATTAGCAATAGTAATTTCCTCAATTTCATTATAACTACAATCTAGTTCAATTAAATTTCGACAATTTTTTATTACTAGTTTTGTTAACTCACCTCAATTATTTCAATTTCCTTTGACATTTATTTTCTTCAAATTAGGAAAATTTTCTATTTCTAATGAACCAGAGATTATTGTTTTTTCTTCTAAATTTATTGTCTCTATGCTTTCTTTATTTGGATAATTTTGATCCAATCATTCTTGGGCTGCTATCATAATGAATAATTTTAACTATTTTATTATATATCTAATAATTTTCTGGCAGAAAATATCCTTATTAATTGGTTCTCTGTTTGCTTATCTTTTCCAAAAAAACCATTTCAAGGAAAATCGAGTTCTTCCAAGTTAGTAAATCCTTCTACTATTAAAGTGCCTCCTAACTGCTTGTTGCTAATGCTTATTTTTTTGGCTTCGCTTTTCTTTGCCGCAGGATAAAGTCAATCTAGTCATGCTTGAGCATTATTGGTTCAGATGAAATTTTCCTGAGCCAGTTGAGGAAAATTGTAATTATCCACGCTCGTTAGTTGATTATCATGACAGATTAAATTAGCAAGCAAAGGAGCATTATTAATTGAGTCAAGGTTAGTAAGTTGATTATTAGAACAGTCCAAATAAGTTAAATTTTGCTTATCACCTAATTTTAGACTAGTTAATTGATTATTGGAACAAACTAGTCCTGCTAGTTGTTGGTTATTAGTGAAATCTAATGTTTGTAATTTATTATTCCAGCAATCAAGTGATTTGAGTTGCGGACATTGACTAATGTCAATTTCGGTCAGTTCATTGTTTGGGCAAAGGAGTAATTCTAGGTTAGGAAAGTCTTGTAGATTTAAGGAATCAGTTAAGTTTTTTTTACTAATGTTTAGTTCAGTGATAGTTTTTCTTTGTTTGGGGGAGTAATTTTGGTTTAACCAAACTTGGGCTTTCATAATGGTTATTTTAGGATAAAAATAGTTCAAAAAGTGAATTTATCAATATTCACTTTAACTAGTTTAATAAGGTGTGTTCCATTTTAATTTGAAAACCACTAAGAAAAAATAACAACTATCGAACCAACTTCCCCACATACATTCTCCCGAAAAATCAACCTCAACTCTCTAAAACTTTAACTTTATTTTCTTTGATGCTCTGTCAAACTTTTAAAGTTTCTTTTTCTATCCGAAAAGAATAATCCACTTTGGGGTTAGACCAAAGAAGTAAATCAGATAAAGGTGGTATCCAACCTGTTCTTTCATAATTCATCAAACATAATCTAAATAAAAAACTAACACTTTCTACTTGTTCGCTGTGAACTAAACTCTTGGCTAATTCAATCAATCTGACTGGCAAAGCACAAGTAATCATAACTCGCTCTTTTATTATGTAATCTTGGCGGGGGAATAAACTGCGGAGCAAAAGCAATTCCAATCCAGTAAAGCAACAGTCAGGTTTGGCCTGGTTCAATTTTCTTTTTAACCTCTGTATTGTATGGTGCTGCATATGGTTAGTTTTGGTAGGTTAACCATACAATACATAAATTTTTTGGATAGGGAGAACAGCATCAATCCTCCTTGGGGAGGTAAGGCTTACCACTTCCCCTCTATTCTTTATAGTATATGTTTTTGCGCACGCGAGAAAGAAAAATAATGCCAAGTTAAGTATTTTTTACTTATTATATATAAGTAATGGCGAAAGTAGGACAAAAAAAGTGACACAGTTCACCCCTCGCCTCGGTTCGAAACTAAAATATAATATATAGGTTAATCATTCCCTATATTTTTAGTTCTCATTGATGGAGGTCAGCAGGTTAGGACTTTGCAGTATCGCTCTCTGCTTGTTTATTATAATTTACTATTCAAAACAAGTTCAGCGTGGTAATGTTTCCAACAGGAATTTTAGCCCTCGCTCATTGTCCTCCTCGGTAAATCGAGAAGTTTTCGCAGTTAGCAATCGAATGTTAACTGGGACAACCTAGCCCCTGTATTTGCTCGCAACCAGTTTAGTTTTTGTTTCCTATGCTGGTTGTGGGAATAATGAGTTAATTTCCCAAGTAGATAATAAATTATTTATTGCCTAGTTTGAAAGTTAATTCTCTCAGAAAATAAAAGTGGGATTTTTTGCTGAAAATATTCTCCTCCTTTTTTGAAACAAAACAAAAAAACTCCCTCCTGTATTCTTAAAAAGTCATAAAAAGCGACAATAACTTCTTCCTTTTTTATAAATCTTTTAATTTTTTGTCAAGGAATAATCTGAAAATTGTTTGTTCCTTGGGCATTTTGCGAAATTCCCATAGTTATTTATTCTTTCTAGTCAGTCAGACTCGGAACTAGGGAATTTCGCTAACTCTAAACCGACTGACTAACTAGGAACAATAGATAACTCTATATATTATTATTTTATATGCTGACCAGACTGGCATTAGTAGTGATTTTCCATCTCATTGATTAGAAACTACTACTCTTAATGCCGAAGATAACAAATGAGTAAACAAGTTTAATTATGATTCCTTTCGAGAATTGTTTTTGCCCTTTTGAGACACATTTATTAATAATGCTGAAACTCAGAAGAAATTAAAGCAGGAAAAAGAAAGAGATGAAAATGGTGAAGAAGTGGTAGTGAAGAAAGGCATTCAGCAAGGCGAATTCTTTGAGTTTTTTTGAAACTTAAAGGATAGTGGGCAACTAGAACACTTTGATGGTAAGTTTATTTTGAAAAAACAGTCAAAGATGGCTGAGATAGTTTAGTAAATAATTGAGAGCAAATCAAAGAAGTAAAAATAGAATTTGAAGAAAAAGAACAAAACTTTAAGACTTATCGTAAAGTAATCAGTTTCTATTCTCCCCAAACTGAGGAATTTATTGTTTAGGTGAAAGTTAGATTTAAATAACTTCTGTATTGCTTTATGGAATAAAGTGATATGAATATATTTGTAGCCACTTTAAAAGTCTTGAAATTCCCGGTAAAATTACTAGCAAAATTAGTCAGAAAAAAGTCTAAAAAAACTGAATTAGAACAAAAATGTTGAAAACATGTGCGGAATTTTGCCCCTACTCATTATAGTTGGCAAAAAAGTATTGGGAGGGATAAAAAGAAGCGAAAAAAACCCCGCAAATTGACAAAAAAGAAAATTAAAAATAAAAACCAATTAGGGGAAAAATAATTATATGACTACCCCCTTGGAATTAAAAATCCCCGGCACCTATAATATTTTTAGTATTAATTGCCAAATAACTGATACTCATCCCCGCCATGAAGACTATTGTGAACGGAAAATAAAAATTATTATCAACTCTAAGCCGGAACCTACTAGCATTACTGCTAACTATTTAAAAAGGCAAGGTTGACCGATGAAAATTACTCCGCAAGTAGTTGAAAGACTATTACCGGAACCTTTTCTTAATTGGTTAAATTATATGAGATTAGAAAAAAGGAGAGTCGGGATTTTATTCCCCGCTATCGTCAAATTTTCTTTTGCTCCCCATACTAGCGTTTATTATAGATTATGGGTGAGATAAGCGGTGATTTGTGCGGGAGAACTTGGAATTGCCGGAGAAAGAGATGGGAAGAGGAAAAGCAAAAAACACCAAAAAATAATAATGTCTAAATTCTCTACTAAAACCTTAAATAACTCCGAAGAAACTAGTCTCTCCGAAGAAGTTCAGCACCAATTAGCCCAGTTAAAGGCGGAAAACCAATTTCTTAAAAACCAATTAGAGGAAATTTCCCAAGGTGGCATTAAAATTCTCTTTTCCGGCAAAGCTAACGCCCAACGAGTAGCCCGCAAAGTTAAACCAAGAACTTTACGGGAAATTAAAAGTTTAAGTATCGATAATGAAGAAGGACAAACTAAAAATCTGGTCATTGAAGGTGATAATTTACTTGCCATGGCTACCCTCTACCAATATCACGGCAAAATTGACCTAATTATTGCTGACCCGCCATATAATACCGGTAAAGACTTTCGTTATAATGACAAGTGAGATGAGGATATTAATGATGAAGGAATTGGGGATTTAATTAAAGCTGATGACCCTTCTCGCCATACCAAATGAATGAAATTCATGCTTCCAAGGTTAATTATGATGCGAGAAATGTTAAAACCGAGCGGAGTTTTAGCGATATGTATTGATTATCGAGAACTCTTTAATTTAGGGAAAATGTTAGATGAAGTTTTTGGGGAAAAGAATAGATTAGGAATTATTAACTGACAAAAGACTTTTGCTTTAAAGAATGATAGTAAACATTTATCAAATTCTACGGAATATGCATTGGTTTATGCTAAAAGTGAAGAAAGAGCGATAACTGGGAAATTAGAAAGGAGTGAAGAACAAAAAAATCGCTATCAAAACCCAGATAATGACCCGAAAGGTAATTGAGCAGCCCATAGTTCTTCCGCTAAAACTCCATTTCCTTCCATGGTCTATGGTATTCAGAACCCTTTTACAGGGAAAATAGTCTACCCCCCGCTCGCCAGTGGCTGGCGAGCGGGGAAATCTGAGTTTAAAAAAATGCTGGAAGAATGGGGTTCTGAATACGAAGAAAAAGATTTACAAGATGGTTGTTTTCCTGCGTTGGTATTGAAAGGAACAAATGAAATCTCAAATGTTATCGAAGCAAAAAAAAGAGCCAAAAAAAGACTTGAAACTATGCCTTGACCTAAATTACTTTTCGGCAAGGACGGAAAAGGAAAACCTGCCATAAAACGCTATTTTATTGACATACAACAAGGAATAATCTCCACTACTTTTTGAGCCAGCGAGGAATATAATTTGCCCTTGGAAATAGGAGATGTATCATGAGAACATTCCCAGTCCGGTCATAATCAGGGTGCTACTAATGAATTATACAATAGGGTTGGTCGAGAACAACAACTAGACGGAATAAAACCCCTCAAACTCTTTCAAAAAATTATCCAATTATGATGCCCACCGAACGGTTTAGTCCTTGACCCTTTTGCCGGTTCAGGAACTACCGGAGAAGCAGTTTTACAACTAAATAAAGAAACTAATGCTAACCGCCACTTTATCCTCATTGAACTAGGTAATCCCGGAACTGATGATAGTTATTGTCGCACACTTTTACAAAAAAGGTTAGCCGCCACTATTACTGGAAAATGAGCCGATAAAAAAGAACATGAACCTTTACGGAGCGGTTTCACTTTCTACCGCCTCAATAAAACCATTGATGCCCAAACTTTATTAGAAATGAAAAAAGATGACTTAATTGATGCTATTCTCGCCAGTCAAATGGAAAGTCAGTGAACTAAACTGGAAAATTATCCCTACCTCTTTGCCAAAAACTCCGAAAATGAAGGAATTTTCCTCATTTGAAATGGCAATAGTAAATCCCAATTAACCCAAGAAATTTATTACCAAATTGTTCAAGAAGCCCAACAAGCCAACTTGTCCTCTGAAAAATATATTATCTACGCTCGCTTATGTTCTTTTCGTTCGGAAAATCTCGAATTTAAGCAAATTCCGAATGAAATTTTAGCTAGTTTTCGAATTTTTGACTAAAATATGCCCCTTACTAAATTACATGGTTATCAAGAAGAAGCAGTGAATACTATCGCGGAAAAATTTCGGCAATACTTAATTAATCCCCCCCTCACCGGCACCGCCAAAAATCCCTCCCTCATCCCCTTTATTTATTCTTTAAAATCAATTACCGGGAGCGGTAAAACCGCCATGTTAGCCGCTTTAACCGCCCAAATAAGTAAAGACTTACATTATCCCCTCGTTCTATGAATGAGCCAAAGTAAAGTCATTATCGAACAAAGTTTAACCAATTTAAGTGCGGGCGGAAAATATAATTCTCTTTTAAATCAGAGCGAGGTATATTCTATTCAAGAATTAATTAACGGTTTAACTACTCCCCTCCTCAATAACCCTAACCCACTTATCTACTTAACTACCACCGGAATATTTAACATTCAGACCAAAGAAGGACGCTTAATTTATCAGTCCGAACGAGCCGACCAAACTAATAATTCCACTTGGGAACTCTTAATTAAGCGTCCGCTCCACGAAAAAAAACGCGGTCTTATCATTATCTATGATGAGGGACAACATTTAACCGAACAACAAATTAACCGCTTACTCGAATTAGCTCCCAACGCTTTAATTTTGGCTTCCGGAACCCCTAGTCATTCCAAAAGACTAGTCAAAGAAATCCACAAAGCCGGCTGAAAAGTAGAAGATTTAGTGTTTGCGGTCTCCAATAACCAAGTAGTCGCCACCGGTTTAATTAAGAACAAATTACGGGTAATTGGTTATGAATCACCCCGAGAAGAAATTTTAAATAGTTTAATTGTTGATTGAGAGAAATTAAATGGCTTAGCGGTTCAAAAAGGTCTACCGGGCTTAAAAGTGATTTATATTTGTAAAACTAATGTCTTGGAAAAAGAAAAGTTTGAAAAAGATAATAGTAATTTACCTTTTGACCAACGAAAAGCCCCCGTCATTTTAATTTGAAAGCACTTGGTCGAGCATTGTGGAATAGAACCGAAAAAAATTGCGGTCTGTGCTAATTTAGAGTTAAAAAAAGATTTTCCTCCACCCACTGATTTTATTCTTTTTGACGGACAAAGTGGACAAGATTATCAAAAGTTCCTCCAAGGCAATTATCAGCATATTATTTTTAATAAAAGTTTATTGGAGGGATGAGATGATAATTTAGTGAGTTATGTTTACATTGACCGAAGCATTGGCAGTGATATTCAAGCCCAACAATTAATTGGACGAGCCTTGCGAACCCCCCAAGGAAAGCACTATCGAGGACAATATAAAGACCTAAATACCGCTTATTTTTATATTAAAACGAGCAATAAGGAATTTAGCGAAATTGTGAGTAAGATTAATAAAGAGTTAGAGAAGATTAGTGATTTAATTAAGTTAGATGTTCCCACTAAATCAGAAAAAAAGCGACTGACCCCAGTTTTGGTGAAAAAGGCGAGATATTTACCCCAAATTGCGGTCATTAACCAAGCCGAGACCGAATTAGCCATTCGCAATATCTTAATTAATAAAGTTAAAGATTATTCGCAAACTGACCCAACGGAGATAGAACCAGAAGACAAAAGAGCGATTATGGATTACCATATTGGCAAAAATACTCCTCTGAAAGTCATTTGGGAAAAGTTTTCTTTTCGGAATAAGGTATCAGTGCGGAATGTCTTACGAAGAAATATTATGAGCCGGAATTCTCGGGCATTAGATTTAACGGATTTGAGTAGCTTAGAATATAAAGAGAAGTTGGATTTTTTAATTGGTCGGAATTCTCCGGCCGAACAAGAATTAAAAGAGCTTGCCGGGGAAATTGTGGATACTTATTTAACCGTTATTCAACTAATTACCCAAGCGGATAAACCTTTACCAGTTCCGGATATGAATGTTAATTTGAATGGTGAATATTATGAATTTGAGAATAGTTTACACAAATATTATAGCAATTTGAACCCCGTGGAGCATGAATGTGCTCGCATGATTGACGAGTTAGGTTATGATTGAGTGAGGAACCCAGTTTTTATTGGGTTTGGTATTCCGTTATTAAGTCAAGGTTTTACCAAGAAGTTTTATCCTGATTTTTTAATTTGGATAGATGATGAAACGCTAGTGGCAGTAGAAACAACGGGTAAAAGTTTATTAAAAGATAAATTAGATAGAAAGTTGTTTACCATTGAGAGTTTTGCGGGAGGGGTGGTTCCGGCAGGAGAGATAGTTCCACCACGAAAAGTGCGAGTAGGAGTAATCTCGACCACCGATACTTTTGGAAAATATCGGGTTTATTGAATTGGAGAAAGTAATGAGTTAAAAAGAAGTGAGGTAATTGAAATGCGGGAATGTATCGGGATGATTTTGGAGGAAATGGAGTAATTTTATTGTTAAAATTAGTATTATGTCCCAAGAATTACAACAACATATCAATAATAAAACCAATAAGCAAAAAATCAGATATTTAGACATTTCTAATAATGACCTCACTGGTAATGCTGACTTAAAAGACTTCACTTCTCTAACTTCCCTAAATGCTTAAATAATAAGTTAGAAAACATGGACTTTTTAAACTCTTTACCTAATAAAGATAAATTACAAAGTATTAATTTTTTTGGCAACCAAATCAAAGAGATAGATTTAGCCTGATTATTAAAAGAATTTCCTAATTTAAAGAAAATTAATTGTGGGAATAACCCAGTTAAAGCTAAAAATCTTCAAAATCTAACTAGCGAACAGTTTAGCAAGTTAGTCCAAAAAATAAAAGATAAAAGTATTCAAGTTAATTCTTATAAAGGAACTGTCTTAATGGACTTATTAGAGTATACTCAACATTTAATTTTTTAATGAACTCTTGATAATCATTAAAGATAAGTGAATTTTTAAAAGCAGTTTTTTCATCATCTTCTAAATTACTAAATACTAACTCAGCACCTTTTTCTTTAACTATTCGAGCTAACTCCTCATCAGTTTTCAGTTTTTCGTTTTTGAATATTTCTTCGCAATCAATATTAGCAAAATCTACTAAAACTAAGAGGGTTTTAATTGGTGAGTGTAAATAAGTAAAAACATTATCTCGGGAAAGAATTCGATATTTTTCTAATTGATTTAAACTAACTTTCTCAATTTTCTTGATAACTTTTCCATTATTATTTTTCTCTTCAAAATAAGGAGGGCGGGCAAAACAAATAACTATTTGGAAATATAGGATATTGTTAGTTCTAATGTTGGCAGTTTCTCCTAACATGCTTTCAAAATAATTATTAGAATTTTGACTATAATTACTCATAATAAACTTAACACCTAAACCTGCTACTATTTCTTCCCCTTTTGTTATTGCTATATCAACTCTTTTATCCATGTATCTACCTTTAACTGTCTTTTCTTTCCGATCGCTTTCATCTAGCGAGTAAAGTTGATAATTATTGCCCAATAAACCCTTCAAATCCTCCGTGATGTTAGGATGAAGAATTTTTAATTTTTCTGGGCTTCTTGCTCCTTCCTCTAAATAAGCATTTTAAAAGTTTTTTATTTAAGTTATCTGACTCGAATTTCATTATAATCTTTTTTTGCAAATTCTTTTCCTTGGTGATTTTCTTTCTCTGACAAAGAAATAAGGTAGTTTAAATATTTAGTCGTTATTCGCGAATTGATTAAGTATCAGTTGCCATTGCGGTGTTCACCAAAAGTTTTTACAAAATCTTTAAATTTTTCACTTTCTAGGTTCTTTTCAATAATCTTTGGTTTGGTTCCATTTGGTAAAATATATATTCCACCATATATTCCCATGCCTTTTGGAACTGATCCAAAATTGACATTACTAACCTCTTTATTAAATAAACAGTTGACATAAATTTTATTTTTGCCAACATCATTAATGGCTTGACTGCGACCAAATTGTCATCATTTATCTTTTTCTTTGATGGACCTATTTTTTAATTTTGATTGAAAATTAAGCAAATAATTTCTAGTATTTTCATCCAATTCCGCAAAATCTTTTAGTAAATATTTCTTGCTTTCTTCATCATAGTAGTAAGGAAAAATACACTCTTTTATTTCCCCAGTGGAACTCTTGATTATCTTAATTATATCTACTGAGGCAAAAGGAAATTTATCAGCAATAAAAATATCGTCAGCCAAGGTAGCGAAAGCATTTTTTACCTCACAATAACCTTTATATTTTTTAGTAAAAATCTTTTTACTTAATAATAATTATTGTTCAAAAATAAATCTGCCTTCAATTACTACTTCTTTTCAGTCTAATTCAATGGTAGAAATTAAATTTACTTGCTTCTCTCTGTTATTTTTTAATTCAACTACGGAATAATTAAATTTCTGATTTTTTTGAGAATTAGTAAATAAAGAAATTACCGGATAAGTAGTTATGTCAGGAAAAACTTGTTGGTGCTTAAAGTTGTAAAGATGAATTAATTTCTTTTCTTGGGAAATTTTCTCTCGCAAAACCTTACCACTGGCATTTTTAAGAAAAGAAGGAGTAACTATAAATTAATTTACCGCTAGCGTTTAACTGTTGAAAGGACAAAAAATAAAATAGTAAATGTAAATTTACCATTCCTTTTAAATTATGCTGAGAAACAATTTTTTTGGCTTGTCCGTTTAAATTATGGATTTTAACATAGGGCGGATTACCAACCACAAAATCCATTTTTTTATCATAGTCCTTAATAAATAAGGCATCACCTAGTTTTATATCATAATTGGCTGGGAATATAGAGTTTAGGTTTTTTAGACAATTTTTATAGGTGGGCGGGTCAATTTCGACACCATGAATATAAGTTTCCAAACCTTTTTTTATCTCTTTTTGGGACAAATTTTTCTCCTTGGCTACTTCTACATATCTTTTAACTATACTCTTTAAAAAAGCACCATCACCACAAGAATTATCTAATATGTATTTATTGAGTATGGCTTCTCCTTGATAGCCAATAGCATCTAGCATAAAGTTAACTATGCTATCAGGGGTGGAAACTTGACCTAAATTTTTTATATTATAGATATTCGGTTTATCTTTTATTTTTCCTTGAATATTTAACGGAATATCACTGCTAAATGTAAGTGGTAAAACTTTTTCGTTCATAAATTTGTAATTAATAAATTTATCATTCTTTCTCATTCAAAAAATTATTTCCGCCGATGTTTCCCACAATCTTTATAACACGTCAAAGCGTCCTCCAAGACTTCCACATAATTTAATCTTTCTTCCTGAGCTATCTTTTTTAAATCATTTAGCCATTCTTTTTTGACCCGCGTGCCAAACTGTTCGGTGCGACCATTCTTGCGCCAGTTTCTTTTGTCAATTACTATTTCCGGAGTTTGTAAATTTTCGCTAGTTTCTTGAGAAGGAATTCCTAAACTTCTAATTTTTTGACTTCACTTATTCATAATATAAATTTTTATAGCAGTTAGATTTATTTAGCTAATAGATTTGTCTAGCTGTTATATCTGTCTAAATAAAATTAGTATATGCTAATTATTGCTTTTATCTCCCAAAAAGGAGGAGTGGGAAAATCCACCCTTGCTCAAGCATTAGCGGTTGAAACTACCCACCAAAAAATCAAAACTTTGCTAGCAGACTGCGACCCCCAACAATCTACCAGTTATAAATGAAGTCAATTGCGAAAACAAAATGGTTTATCTCCTATAAATTGTCAAGTATTCCAACAAGTCAAAGATATTTGACCTTTAACTAAACAATACGACTTAATAATTATTGATGGTCCTGCCAGAACTAGTAAAGGAACAGCGGAAATCGCTCAACGGGCTAATTTACTAATTCAACCCACTAGTGCCACCCGGGCGGATTTAGAACCTGCTGTCCGTGAATTTAATAGTTTAGTCAAACAAGGCATTTCTCCGAAAAAACTAATCTTGCTTCTCAATAATTTAATCACTCCTGCCGAGGAAAAAGCCACCCGTACTTATTTAGAGTTAACTAATTATCATTGCTTACCTTATGCCTTATATGCTCGTGCTTCTTACCGCCAAGCCCAAAATGAAGGAAAAAGTATCAGCGAAATTTCTTATCAGAGTTTAAGTAAACAAGTAAAGAAACTTTTAGATAGTATTTTGGAAATACTATAAATGTTGTTTTAGGTTTTATATCTAACAGTTAGAAAAATATAGCAGTTATATTTGTATAGATTTTACAGTTAGCGAATATTTTTTATCGCCCAAACAGTTTTTACATCACTGTTTCCCTGATATCTCAACCCTAATTTTTTAGGAATTATTGATTGTTATCGAATCAAAGAATAAAATAACGATAATCATGCATGAGATTGATTGATAAAAAGAGAATATTTCGCTTGTAAAAGGAAGGATAAAGTAGTAGAAATAATTGATTGACAAAGATAAACTATAAAATTAAATCATGACTAGCGAAAGAACAATTTTACTTGTAGGCAGAACTGGTAGTGGGAGATCCGCCCTAGCAAATGTAATTAGTAACACTAGCAAATTCAAAGAGAGCGAATATGGGATTAGCGAGTCAGAAGGTACACAGATTGGACATTTTCGTTTAAAAGGAGAAGATATGATTTATCACATAATTGACACCATTGGAATTGGAGATAATCGTTTTACTAAAGCGGAAACTTTGAATAGATTAGCCAATGCAGTTAATGGAGTACAAGCGGGCTTAAATCAAATTTTTTTTGCTGGTTTGGCACTTTTTCTTTTTTATCCTTAATTTTTACTTGGATCTGTTTTTTTTCTTGGCAAATAATTAAAGTGTTTTTTAAATTTAGTATAATTAAATGAATGCTTAGTAGATAGGAAAAGGAATTAGTTTTTCCCACTGCACTTTTAGTTATTTCCCTTAGATGGAATTTCCATTTGAGCAATTAAATCTTCACTAGTTAATTGGCGAAGTGTTTGTTGAATACCAAGTGATTTTAAAGAACTGCTTGTCTTTCCATAAAAAACACTAGTTCGCTGATCATTATTGATTAGTAAAGAAAATTTTTCTCCTTCTTTTTTCCCATAGGGACCATATACTTTTTCTTCACCTGTAGAATTGGTAGTGAATAAAAGCAATCCTTTAATATTAAAACTATCACTTCATCCCTCTAATTTAGTTAAATATTCTCTGTCTGCTAATTTAATAGTTGCTAATTCAGTTCCTTCACAGCCATGTCTTTCACTTTCAATTAAATGTCTTTTGCCTTCGGATTTTACTTGATAAGTACATTGAATACCTTTTACTCCGCCAAAAAAATCTCCATCGTGACTAATCTTTATTTCTCGAATTAAAATATCTTTAACTTCAGTTAAACCGAGATTTTTATTAATAGTGATTAGATCATTGAATGATTTATGAGCATCATGACCTTCATTAGAAATTCCGTAGAGTTCAGATTGCTCAAAATTGTTATTTGGATATCAATAACTAACGATTAAATGATTTCTTAATCTTGAATTTGATTTTTCTATTTCACCCATGTTGCTGTATTCATCTGCACACTCCTTTGCTGTGAGTTTCTTTTCATCTTTTAGCCAAAGATAAAAATTAACCTCCGAAAAATTAAATTCATCTCTAAAAGCACTCGCCCATTCGCAAACTTGTTCATAATTAAACCTACTATCTTTTCATTTCTGCACTAACTCTTGAGTAAATTCTTCATGAATAACTCTTCATTTATTTCATTCTAGGAAGGTAGTTAACTCTAGTTGTTTGTCTTTGTCTTTTAGCAGTTCTTGATAATGAGAAATACTTTCTCTACCGCAGATTATTCTTCGGTTTACTAAGTCAGCAAAAATTTCTTTAGAGGTTGGTTTTTCATCTGTTTGTAATTCTACTAGACCTATTGAATGAACAGTATTATTAGGTATTAGGATAACTATATATTCTATTACTCCTTTCTCGCCAATCACCACTAAATTGTCCCCAACTTGTATTTGTAGAATAGTTTTTATAGTTCCTGCCAAAGAATAATTTTTTCCTCTGCTTCTTATAAAAATTCTATTTTCATATTTTAAAAATATTTCATCTATCCTATATATTTCGCTTTCTAATTGAATTCCTTGGAGAGAAATTTTCATATTTTTAAACTGGTAATCGTGTATTTTTTCTATTTCGGTGGAACCATTGGTATGGACTTGCGGTATTAATCATAATTCGGGTCGATTGTGACAAGAACCAAATCAAGAAAATATTTCTTGCCCATAACCCTGTTGAATAGCTTCTTTGACTACTGGTAATAATGATTTTTCCAAATCTTCCTTAGTATACTCCTGACCAAAATGTTTATAATTAGTCTTTACTTTATCTCCATAGGGAAGCAAACCAAGAATAGCATAAATACCATCCACAGGAACAGTTTGTTGACGATGTTTTACCGCTAAAAGTGATTCTCCGAGAGTAAGATTAACTTTTTGTCCTGCTTGAAAATCATAACTTCAACCTAAAGGAGTGATGAAGACTAAAGGAGTGATGGAAATTTGACGGGTGTTGTCTTCTAACTGCAACGAAGAAGAACCTAACGAATAATCATTCTGCAAACTACCTCATGCTAAGGCCAACAATCTACCATCTATTAAACAATCATCAAACATAAAGATAGTTTGCTTGCTTAATAGTCCTTCTTGGAAGGTTCACGAACGAGTGAATCAGGGGGAAGTAACTATTTTTTTTAGGATATATTTAACTAGTTCTGTTTCATCTTCTCTATTTACTTCATTTCCTATTTCTTCATCAATGGCAATTAAAGTAGCATCAGAATGAGAATAATATTGTCGCATTTTAGGAACTTCTTGACTTTTATCTTCAGGACTATTTTGGTTAATGCATAACTGATCCATTCAAAAATAATCAATTCCTAACAGTTGACTAACTTTAATGGCTTTTTGTCAAGATTTATAACCTAGTTTGGTTAATAGTTCACTATTTTGATATCCGACTTGGCTAGTAACTTTATCTAATTCTTGTTTTTGTTCTACTGTTAACTCATTACTTTTTTCTTGAACATTACCTCAACAGTAAGAAGTGATAAAGTAGTTAGGAATATCATTTCTGTTTTCGGTTGTTTCGACTTGGTTAGTTTGGAGGTTATAAAGGCGCAAAGGCAGTTGTTTTTGAGAGTTAACCTTTGGTAGAATTTCTCAGGTAAAAGAACGACCATCACGGAGAAGAAAATCGGAGTAATTTAGTGGGGGATGATAATTTTCAAAAAAAATTAGTTCTTTTTCTAATTCTTCTTGTAAAAATTCAGGAGCAGTAGTGACTTTTTCTAATTTAATTTCCCCATCATAACTAAGAACTATTGGTTCTTTACCAGCTTTTTTCATTAATTCAGGGTGAGTTACTTGTCAAAGAGGTAAATTTTTGTTATAAAGATTTAATTCTTCTCATATTTCTCCATACTTGCCACAATCAATTGCTAATAAATTTATAGGTAAAAATTCTAAACCAGTAGTGAGATTAGTTCCATAAATACTAAGTTTTTCTAACTTATCCATATTCTTAGTAAATTCTAAAGAACCAGTAAATTCATTATTTCCTAAATCAAGTTCTTCTAAATTCACTAAATGGCTTAATCAAGTAGGATTTTCTTGAGGGAAGTTGTTATCACTAATAATTAGTTTTTGCAAATCAATATTTTTACTAAGATCTAAGTGAGATAGTTTATTTTTTACGCAATTAAGTTCTTTTAAATTAACACAATTAGTCAGATTTAAAGAAGTGAGATTATTTCATGAACAGTTTAATTTCTCTAAATTAGTAAAGTTAGACAAATCTAAATGACCCTCTAAATTTTTATAGTTAATATTTAACTCTTTTGTTTTTTGCCTTTTTTCTAAGGTGTTATATTCCTCCTGACTTTCTAATCAAGTTTGAGCATTTTGTAGTTTAGTGATTTTAGCCTCTTCCGGCAAATTTTTAAAAGTTAGTTTGGTTTCATTTATGGGATAAAAAATTAATATTTCTAAATGACGAGTAAAATCTCCCAAATCAATTTCTCCTTCTAAATTAGGTTCATTAAGATAAACTTCTCTTACTTCACTTCTTTGTTCTCTAGGATACTTCTGATCTAATCATCCTTGACTTTTATTGTATTTTGCCTTTAATTCTTCTAAATTTAAATCATCTTGAGGTTGATAACCCTGCTTAGTCAGATAAACAGCAAATCCGTAATCTTGAGGTTGATAACCAACTTTAGTTCATTCTTTTAACTGGTGGCTACTAAAATCTTTCTCTATTCATTTTAATTCCTTCACCAGTTCCTTAACTTTACTTTCAGGTTTTTCTTTAATAGAATAATAAACATTCTCAACACTAGGTGGTAAATATTCTCAACCACTATTTATATCAGTATTAGAAATATGTAAGGTTATCAATTTAGTCAAATCCTTTAAAGGTGCCAAGGAACCAGTAAATTTGTTGTAAATATTATTGGCAAAATGTTCTTTATTATCACCACCAATTCATAAACTCTCTAAGTTGGTAAATTTGCTAAAAACAGATAAGTCTTGTTTAGATAGATTATTATCACTAATATTTAGATAAGTTAATTTATTGGAATTTAAAGAGGAATAATCAAAATTAGTTAAGCAATTATCGCTACATTCAATGTTTTCTAATTCTCTTAATTCACTTAAATTTAAATCGGTAAGTTTATTGTCATTACACCAAAGTTCTTTTAACTTCTGGCAATTATTTAAGTTTAAATTAGTTAATTTATTATTAGAGCAATAAAATTGTTCTAAATTAATGAAATCAGATAAATCTAATTCTCTTACTAAATCTTTAAAAGAAATATTTAAAACCTTTATTTCACTCCTTGTTTCTTTCGGATAATATTGATCTAATCATTCTTGAGCGTTTACCATATTGTTATTAAATTTGTGTTATTTTGTTAAAAATTTTTTAATCACCAAAAAGCAATTAAGTCAGGTAAATATCTAAGAACTAGCGATTGATTTTTTACACAAATAAAAGATTATTTGGTATAATTATTTTTCATCCTGATTTATCAAAACAGAATAGAATAATACTTATGTAATTATTTCCTTAGATATTTTCTTTTCGTTTTGACCATAGGCAATATATCTAAATTTTATATAGTTTTGTTTAGAAATTAGGTTTTTTTAGACGAATTTTTACCCCAACTTACCTTCTCTATAACAAGGCAGACCCAAAGTAATATGCAATTTTCTTTCTATAACCATTAATTCCTTGGTGGTTAAAGAAGCAATTTTTTCTTTAACATAAATTTTATCAATAGTAATAATTTGATCCAAGAGTATTTTGCTTGGTTTATCTAAATTAATAAGTATTTCAAAGGGATAAACTTTATCTAATTGGTAAGTAATTGGTAAAACAGTTACTACTGGACTAAATTGATTTTGATGATTATTAGAGATAATTGCTGCTGTAAGTATCTGTTTTAAGATTTGATAATTCTTGCTTTCCAGTTGTATCATAGTTACTTTATTTTTTCTAAATTTTTAATCAAACTCTCAAATTCTTGGATAAATTGGGGGAGAATATTATATATTCGGTTAAAATTTCTTCCCGATAAGCATGGGAGGCTAAATTTCTTTCTTTGCCGAAGTCAAATCAAGGTTGTGGGTCAGCAATATATCCTCATTGGACAGCTAAACGAAAGGTATCGCGGGGATTGCGAACCTGTACTCCTTGTTGATATTAATAATTTCTGCAAAGTATGTCAGGCTAATTCATAACTAACTTCAAAAGCTTGAATGGCTGCCATTTCATCTAACTCATCTTCGATATCTTGGAGAGATTTTTTAATAATTCTCTCATTCAGAGGAGAGGTTGGAGGTTAATTATTGATTTATTCACAATATTATATTATTATTTTTAATTTCAAGTAGACAATGAGAAATTAATCAGTTTTTTTGCAAAGCAGTGATAATAAAAAAACAATAACCGATTTTCTCTGAAAAACTCCTCCTTAATTTATTCCCCACCTAAGGGCTAATTAGGAGAGGAATATTTATCAATCTCAACTTTCACTATCAAAAGCAACCTTCCAAGCTCTTTTAAGTTCTCCAATCCTTTTTCCACTCACAACTCCTAGATATCCTTTTAATCTTTCCCGGTCAACAGTGCGAGGATAATTGAATTGCAGTTTACTGGGATAATCCAGTCTAGTTCCCGGTATGTTTTTAATCAAAACCTCAAAGGGTTCAATGTTCTCGATATCCTCAGTAGTTAGGGGTATAACCACCATTCATTTAGCATATTCATTTTGGATATTATCACTAATGACTAAGCGGACGGATTGGCTTGCGGTCTTCCGTGATGGGTGGGAATTTCACTAGTCAAATTTCTCCTTGTCTTGGAAGTGGAAGTGCTTTATTGCTGGTCGTTTTACTAGTCATTATAAGCCATCTCCTGATATACTATCTCATAAAGACAATTCAGACTGTAAGTTTTTATTTTTGGCTTGTCTTTGGTAAGCAGCAATTAGTCGTTTTTTTAATTGTTGTTTTTCTCTTTCCTTTTCCTTTGAATTAGTGTTTGGTTCTAATCGAGTTTCCGCCAGTATTCGGTAATCAATCTTTTTCTGTTGTAAGAAGCTTTGGACTAGTTGGCTTTTTTTGGCTTCGTTGACTTCGAGAATTATTACTTCTTTCATAATAGTTATTTTTACCGAGCGGTATATAATATATACTAATAATTAGGTTGGGGGGACTTAGTTATTAGTAAAGAATTAGGGAGTTTTTGAGGCTCCCTTTTTCTACTAAATTTCGGTTTTCTCACACAATATCCCTAAGAGTTTACAGAAAATTCTTCGATAGAAGT